TGTATAACTTGTCTAAGTTAATTAAAAAATCACTTGTTGAATTCTTTAGTTGCTTGCAAGATAGTATCCATTCTTAATCAGTCTACTCATTTACAGTAATAATATAACTTTAGGACAGAGATAAAATGATCCTATTCCTCTTACCCTAAATAGAATATCTCCTCAAAACTGACGATTTATTTATTTATTTATTTATTTATTTATTTATTATTTTTAAAGATTTTATTTATTTCTTCATGAGAGACACAGAGAGGCAGAGACACAGGCAGAGGGAGATGCAGGCTCCATGCAGGGAGCCCTATCCCAGGACTCCAGGATCACGCCCTGGGCCAAAGGCAGGCGCTAAACTGCTGAGTCATCCAGGGATCCCAAAAAATTACAAATTAAAGAACAATTTGTACACATCCAAAAATGAGTAAACTCACAAATGTTTACTCTCACTCATAACTGTTGAGAACTAACCATAAAATATATTCTACTTTAGTCATTTATTTTCTATACAAGATACCCTTCATTTCAAATATATTGTTATTAAAACATTTGAATAGGATAGTGAAGCTCCAACTAGGCTAACTCTAGAAAATAAATGGGAAAGTCACTTAAGAGTTTCCTGCTCTGAAAACTATTTTTTTTAATTTTTTATTTATTTATGATAGAGAGAGAGAGAGAGAGGCAAAGACATAGGCAGAGGGAGAAGCAGGCTCCATGCACCGGGAGCCCGATGTGGGACTCGATCCTGGGTCTCCAGGATCGCGCCCTGGGCCAAAGGCAGGCGCCAAACCGCTGCGCCACCCAGGGATCCCTGAAAGCTATTTTAATTATTATTTTTTTAAACTATTTTAACTATTAAAACAGAACTTCAACAGGTATCATTTTTGGCATCATGAAGATGAGAGACTATAATTTTCTAAAAGACTCAGAATACCTTGTGACTGGTGCTGAGAAGAAAGCCCCTAGAATTTTTTTTTTTTTCTGAACAAGTAACATGAATTAATACCATGATCTAACCTTAAAGGAATAATTCCCAGCAGATGTGGAGAGAGACCAGACTCCTGTCTGCATTTTAATTAGAAGCCAGTCTTCTTTTCTCTCCAGGTAGGATTTCTCTATTCCTAACCCAAAATAACCTTTAAAAAAATCAAATGAATTGGTATGTTATCACTTATAGGGAATAACTCAAAGAACTATAATTACATTTCTTTTCTTCCTCCCTCCTTTTTTTTTTTTTTGCGAGATGTAGTTGCTTCTTGAGTTGGACATATGACTGAGGCAAAAATGACAGGCAGAGGGAAAAATAAATGTGAGCCAAGTGGCTTTGGAAAACTTTGTTGAAAGAGAATCTAAAGATACACACTAGTCATCAAAACATAGGATGCAGATGTTACTAGAACTTAGAACTTGACCAAATTTTGTGAAATACATAAAAAAGAAATACACATGAAGATTGTGATCTTGGAAAAAGTTTAAAAGCTTTTGTGAGTTCTTTAGTGCCTGTGCAAGAGTTATTATATGAGCTTTTAGCTCGCAGTGAAAACAGAATGGGAAAAATCACCAGTTGTATATTGGGGTTTCCTTTGGTGGCTTGAAGTCAGCCATGGTATTTACACCATGGAAATCTGCAAATGCTACAAATCAGGGCTTTTTAAAAATTTTTTCTTTCCATTTTTTTTTAGGGAGCCAGTTTACCAGCACACCACTGAAAATAACTGCACAGGGATTAACGAAACCCTTAGCACCTGTAACAAAGATATTCCTTGTATGGTTTTGGTGAGGGGGGCTTGGGGGAATAAATGAGTATTCTTTCTGTAAACAGGGACTTCTAATACCCACCTTTGTAAGATGTGGTGTTTAATTCTTTCTTTTGCAATTAAAATCTCATCAAATTCTTATTTGAGAAGATTTCTCTACAATATGGCATCTGTTTCACTTCTTTTCATTAAGAAGTAAAAGAAGATAAACTATGTATGTGTGGCAGGAAAGCTTCCTGCTTTCTAGTAAGTAGAAGTAGTATCACCTGATAAACTGTATAAAGTCACTGGGATGGAGTCAAAGCCATAGAGAAGCTACCAGACTTTTTTTTTTTTTTTTTTTTTTTTTTTTTGTGAATGACAGTGTTAAAGAATGTAACCCCTCTCAACTTCTCTACACCCCGTACATACAAATTGCTCATACTGATACAACCCTCAATCGTGACTCACTTCACACCTCTATTTTTTTTTTTTTCTTTCTTGTTATCACCAAGATTAAACAGCATGTTTGGGCAGTAGTCTGCATTCATCTAACCTTTTCCATCCAGGCCACAGTGATACAACAGAACAGGTTTATGTACCTCACACGTCAGATCCTATCAAGAAACTTGGTAGTGACAGTTTGATAAGGACACCATAGCTTATTGAACTTGTTCTAAAAACAACAGCAGCAAACCACTCATCTCACACGTTTTAGTGACCTTGTTCTATGGTGTCCCCATTTTTAACTGCAGGAGGTGTATTGCTGTGTGGCTTCAGAGCATATAACAAAGCTGAGGCATGTGACAAGGTGTGTTTTGATATTACGCCACTAAAAATGCTGCATTTACTTCAATAACCTATTGAGAAAGGAGAGGTCTAGGGTTGGTGTTAATGTCCACCTTGCCAACCGATGTAATCAAAGTGAAAAAATGGCTAGTCAGAAAATGAGAAAAAAATTGCCAGGAGTTGCTTTTCTCTTTGATCTTCAGAAGGTCCAGGCTTGTGATAGTACCATGAACTGTTTCAGGGTAACATCCCTACAGCAAGACACAGCAAGAAAAGTAAACTCAAATAAATATAAAATTAGAGTGAACTATAAAGCTCAATTTTCTTACATGGTTTTTGTTTTTTTTGTCTCTGATTTATTCATTTATTTATTTTTGGTCCAAACACATTCTTGAGGCATGCCAAAGACTTTACTATAAGCACATTTAATACCATATTTAACTATATTATTAAGCTTTAAAAATTGTTATTGCTGTTATGTAGTCAAGTTCAAAGTGAAATTTATTATCATGGTGAAATTTTTGGATGGGATTCAAATCTCTGTAAAATTTCAGATTTTTCTACTCCTTGTGGTGAAAGCAGGATAAGGAGCATTTGACTAACCTGAGGGTTTAATGTTATCATGCAGTTATCTTTCTGAATCTAAAATATTATCCTTCTAGCATGTGCTCTGGAGGCCTGTGGCCCCCTCTGTTCTTAAAGATGGACACATTCAGGGAGAAACAGGAGAACCCCTTTAGGATTCTTCGATACAAACAAATCCAGTGCTGATCTATTTCATAATAACCAACAGAAACTTTGTGAGTTTGGAAAACATAATTTTGTTTTGTGACTATCTGTGAAACAACTGATATCACAACTTTGTGGTGAGGGGAAGGCAGGGCACACTTCTAAACACCGGCCTATGTTTTGGTGGGTTTGTGTCTAATTGCTCTGCTTTGGAGTGGGTTGGTACTTCCCCAGAACACCCCTATCTTATCCCCCCTCCTCCTCTTTGAAGAAACTTTCTTCTACTTCTGAAACAAAAAGAAAGTGTTCTTGTTAGTATTGGGAGTCGTCCTCTGTCTTCTCACCTCAGGTTCTAGATGTGATCATAAAGGAAAAAAATATGAAATATTTAAGGTCTACTAGACTATAGAGGCAATAATATGAGGATTGAGTCCCCAGCATCTCCCTTGAGAAATGAACCATTACAAACACAATTGAAGCCCATGTTATTGTTGCCTCCTTAGAGGTAATTACTATTTTCATACATGTTTTTATACTTTTGCTACATGTGTACATCCATACAAAACTGAATGCTGTGTTGCATGTTTTTTTTGTTTTGTTTTGAAGATTTTATTTATTCATGTCAGAGAGAGGGGCAGAGACACCGGCAGAGGGAGAAGCAGGCGCCCTGTAGGAGCCCGATGTGGGACTCGATCTGGGGAATCCAGGATCATGCCCTGAGCCGGAGGCAGATGCTCAACTGCTGAGCCACCCAAGCGTCCCTGCATTGCATGTTTTGAATTATTAGGTAGATGGTTCCCTTTTTTCCACATTATTTTTAAGGTAAGCTAACACTCTTGTTTATTGGTCGTCACTCTACAGTATTCCATAGTTCTGATACACAGTAATTTAGTTATACATTCTTGTGTTGATGCTTCGGTGTATATTTAGTGCAGGCCTCCTTGAGGAATGTGTGGGGATTTCTTTAGGGGACAGACCAAGGATTAGAATTTTTGGATAACTGGATATGCATGTCTTTAACTTCTCTAGATATTGCTATGCTCCAAAGACTGAATCATCAGCAGCGAAGCCAGCAATCTGTCACACACCCTCTGGGTTCGAAGTTTCAGATTCCGTAGTCTGAAGTGGGGCAGTGGTAGTGGTGGGGAGTGTGGCAAGAGTGGGCATTTCCAACGGGGCTCCAAGTGATACTGCTGCCGCTGCAGTGTAGTAACCGGGACCACATTTTGAGAGCAAGTGCTCTAGAGAGAGTCTACTGGATTACTTATATCGGGAAAAAGAGAGTCCATGTGACCTTATCTGAGAAGATGTGGCTGGTGAGGTTTTGTTAGGTAACTGAAAGTCAGCCTGTGGTATACTGTGAGGATTCAGATTCTAGAAAGACTGAGTGGAATATAGATAACATATACTAAATAACCAGTATGAGTGGTCGTCATCAAAGGCTAAACCGATGAATTCTGTTGCTAGAATGGGACCCCTAAGTGAGCTCCTGCTCTTGCTGTGCTGAGAAGGGCAGTGGCGTGGACAGGTGGCCCAGTGTCAGGCCAAGGTGGCCAGTGTTGGGCCAGGGTGTGCAGAAGCTTGGCTGCTGTTACTTAGTATCTCAGTGTTTTGATTACATCAAACCCAGGCATTGGCTTAGATGCAGGTGAGAATATCCCCTTGGGATCCCTCCAGCTTTAAGGCCTGGCCCTACGGAGTCGGAATGATTTGGCTAGTTTTAGATGCTTATATCCAAAACACAACAACAAAATCAATCTTTACATTATGTAATTTTTTTAAAAATTATATTCCAAATTTAGTACTGTGGTAACAGAATACTGGGGAGCTTTCCCTTAAATATTCTTTCTAGCAAGGACTTCTTATAAAAAAATCTTAACAAAGCCTTCACATATTTTAAGATAAAAAGACACACACAGGTTGGCACAGTCTACAAATAGTTAACAAACATGTAAACTGGCAGGAAAGTTCTCTTTTTTCAGATTTAGCAATATAAAAGGTCAAATGGGGGGGCGGGAAGCATGTACCAGTAACCAAAATCATTCCACAATTTATACAACAAGATAATTGTTTTTTAAAACCAGACAACAGGTTCAAAAATACTTCTCTTCACACCTTTAAGTGATGCTGTTGGGAACAATGGCTGTTACAAGGCCATTTGTTGCAGGCACGTTTCTAGCTAGCTCTAGTTAACGTTACTGTAATTTTATCTTCTCTCTTTTTTCTCTCTCATCAGCTTTTTGCTTTCTTCTCGTCTTCTCTTATTCACTGGATTCCGAGGATCATAGATTTCAAATGTGTCTGAATCTTGCATGCTTGCATCCTTCACTTTTCTGCTTTTATCCTCAAACTGAAGTACATGTGACATCCTGAAGAGGGAGAGAGATGGATGGTTCAGTGATTTTGGCAGGAGAACAGAAAGTAGACGTTTTATACTATACTGTCCTTGGCATAACACACCATAGGGTACAGGACACCAACATGCGCTTGTTGTTTATTGGTGCTTACACCGCATGGAAACCACCTTCTCAGAAGACACTTAAATTTGAAAAACGTGTCTGGAGTTTGTTCTGTTGGTTTGTATTTTTTAGTAAAGAGTCTCTTTGCCTCAGTCTTCACTTGAAGGTCCTTTCCTGATGGGAGGTTAAAGGAACTGTACCAGAATGTTCCTTCACCTAAACTCAGAGAACATTTTGCCAGCTTCCTTTAAATAAAGAGCACGCTCACTTAGCCAGAGAGGGCAGGGCGGCAGAGCAGAACTCCTGACAATAAACCAGCCCTATCTGATCTTTTTGTTTTCAGTAGTTAAAGGGGTCAAGACTCAGGAATGTGTTAAGAAAATTCTTGTTCAAATGATGTTATGACTGCCTTTTCAGGGGAGCTGTAGGGTTAAAAACAAAAAATGATTTTTTTTTCATGCAAAAGGAAACTAAGCTTTGGCATAGCTCCATGGACTAATTTCCTCCTCTTACTGTTGATTACAACAAATTTAACCATCCTGCTTTTCCCACTTTATCAAATGCTTACTGGTCTTAAGGTATCAACATGTGCTTGAGTCCTAAGTGGTCATAAGCTGGCTATCCTTAGCAGCAGGGAAATATGTAAGTGATTAGCTCTGCCCCCATTAGGAGGTGTCAGAAATAAATGGGGAAGTCAAAGACCAGATTTCAGAGCAACTGAATGAATTTGGAAAGAGAAAAGTCAGTTTTGATATATAAACAAAACTACTAAAGCTTTTCCCACTTGTTATTTAAGCACTTTTAAAGTGGGCATACCCAACACTTTTATCACAGCTGATAGGGCTAAATTGCCTATAGGATTAACACTCCCCATACACCCGCTGAACTTTCACATGAAACCCAAATATTACATTAATTTCTTTTTCCCTGAATAAGCAGGGATTTGGGCAGTAGGTACCAGTACAAGTCCCACACCCCTTTTCCCTGCAGTAGCAGAAATGCTGAGTGAAGCTTACTTATGTGAAAAACTCTCACGGATATATTCAGATTTTGAAGAAAACATTTTGGTGACAAATAAAATGTTATAGTATTAATGATACTGAAGTTACTAAGGGTGGTTCAGTAGCTACTGTTCTCAAGGGCTAACAAGTTGAGCCTTAACTACCATTCCCATCCCTTCTATCCCAGAAAAGCTTGCTGGGATGCAGTTAGTACAAGTGATATTATTATATGGATGACCTAGAGTCTACTTTAACTTACTAAATGAAGTAAATCACATTCACATTTCTATACTTTATTATTATCTTTATTTTCTTTTTTTTTTTAAATTTTATTTATTTATGATAGGCACACAGTGAGAGAGAGAGAGGCAGAGACACAGGCAGAGGGAGAAGCAGGCTCCATGCACCGGGAGCCCGACGTGGGATTCGATCCCGGGTCTCCAGGATCACGCCCTGGGCCAAAGGCAGGCGCCAAACCACTGCGCCACCCAGGGATCCCTATCTTTATTTTCTATACTTTTTGTACTTTATTTCTATATCACTAATATGTAATTTGCATTAAATTTCATAACTAGGGATCCCTGGGTGGTGCAGCGGTTTGGCGCCTGCCTTTGGCCCAGGGCGCGATCCTGGAGACCCGGGATCGAATCCCACGTCGGGCTCCCGGTGCATGGAGCCTGCTTCTCCCTCTGCCTGTGTCTCTGCCTCTCTCTCTCTCACTGTGTGCCTATCATAAACAAATAAAACAAAAAAAAAAATTAAAAAAAAATTTCATAACTAATTTCAATAACTAATGTTCAATATGAACATGCCATATCACCTGTAAGAACTGCTGAATCCTTACACTTCTTTTGCTTGAGTGAGTATCTTTATTTAGAAAAAGGCATCATATGAGATCTTGCCATTTACAATACGGGTGGACCTAGAGGGTGTTATGTTTACTGAAATAAGTCAATGACAAATACCGTATTATTTCACTTAGATGTAGAATCTAAAAAACCAAAACAAATCAATAAACAGAATCAGACCTATAAATACAGAGAACAAACTTACGGTTGCCCAGAGGGGGGAGGGGTGGGAGGATGGGCCACATGGGTAAAGTGGCATGGGACATACAGGCTTCCACTTACGGAATGAATAGGTCATGGAAATAAGAGGCACAGCATAAGGAATATAGTCAATATTGTAATAGTGTTGCATGATGACAGATGGCAGCCACACTTGTGGTGAGCGTAGTGTAAGGTATAGATACTTGAATCACTATGTTGTACACCTAAATCTAATGTAACATTGTATGGCAACTATATCCAAAAGGAAGGAAGGGAGGGAGGGAGGGAAGGACAGAAAGAAGGAAGGAAAGAAGGAAAAAAGGAAAGAAGGGGAAAAGAAAAGGGAGGAACAAAGAAGGAAAGAAAAATAGAAGCAAAACAACAGAAAAAGAAAATCAGCAAGTATAGTTACCTCCTTACCATAGCAATGACAGTGGAAAAACCATGCTGGACAGGTAATTTCAAGAATGGTGATATTGAGGCCTTTGCTTCCTAAATTTCCACTTTGAATTGTTTCTATCTTCTTTGAAAATGATCAGATACATTTAATGGAAGAAATGGAAAAAGGAGCTCTGAATTAAGCTTATGATAACAGAATAAATAGCACCAATTTTATCATGGATAATCATACAATTTAGTAGGATAAATTTGTAGATTCTTTGTGGGAGGAGGATGTAGGGTATTCAAGGAAGTACAACATAGGATCGTTGCTTATTTAAATAGATTCCTCAAGATTCCTTTCTTACACTTTGAATTTCCTGCAGTGTTAGCTTCTGAAAATAAAACAATCCCAACTCCTAGAAAAAGGCGGATTGTTCTACATTCATGGTAACCAGGGACTACTAGAACTTGTTTGAAACGTACTCAAACTGGATTTAATCAATTAATGATGATTTGCCTAGGCCTAAAGGATCAGTGACAACTCAGTTCAGTAAACACACCTCTGAAAGCCAACTAATCAGTTGGCCAATCAGTGGTGGACTGTCGAGTAAACATTTCTGAAAGCTGGCCAATCACCGAGAGCCTCTGGTGCATAATGGGGCTTCTGAGGCTGATAACCCCTAATAATCCCTGACCCCAAAACTCGGTGTAAGATTTGCAACCCACTTTGCTCAGAGACTGTGCCTAAAAGTATAACTCTTCCTTACTTAATAAATTAAGCCTTTTGTTTCAGGTAAACGAGAGGTGGTCTTTTTCTTTGACACTTCTTATAATCTGTCCTGCATTTCCCACAAAGTATACTTTTTAGGAATTGTATTTCTACTCCTGAGGAACAAGTTTAGAAGGATGGCAGGATGTCCTTTTAAAGGTCCTTTACCACACATCGTGGGGAGTACAGACCTTGCACTGCATTTCAGTAAGTGCTTAGCAAATAAATGATTCTTGTGCAGATACCTAACCCAGGTAAGTAGCTTGAAACCAGGAAGTACCTGAAACATGCCCTTTAAAACAATTTTATTTAATACTCCTGTACTGATAGTAAAAAACAAAACCACTGTCTTGAGTTAACTTATTAATAGCTTTCTATATACACATTTTTCTATTTCAAAAATTATTGCTCTCTCCAAAAATGCAGATTTTTTTTGTAATATCCATTTCTATTAGGGACTGTCCACATTTCAAAAATGACTTTACCAGAACCTGTCAATTAAAACCTTATAGGCACCTTCTTCCTTTCTCTCCCATGAGAGAATCTTGCAACTATTGGATTTAGCTGGCTCTGGTATAAGAAATGAACTCTAGACATGTGAACAACAGCACAAAGTCCACAAAGAGAAACAGATTTTCCTACAAATTTGAAAAAAAGCAGAAAGCCGTAAATTAAAGTAGCTGTCTTTTTCAACTGTTTGTTTCATACACCACTGCACTAAACAAGTCCAACATTTTGATTAATAACAAACCTAAACCCAGAGGAAAGAAGGGGCTATCAGCTTACAAACTACTTCAGCTTTAATATCATAATACTTAGCATGGCTGGTTACTCAGCAATAATATTTAATCTTTAATAGAAATAAAAGCATAATCAAAATGGTTCACCCATTTATCTTTCAACATGCTTTGGTCACTTCATTTTAAACAGCAAAACAAAACAGTTATTATGATTTTCAGCATAATAAACTCCTGACCTATGTGCCTCCATAAATCACAGACTGCACGAATTGAAAGCATGCCCACATTTTACAGTCTCCTGTGAGAATACACATGCAGACTTATACTACAGCCTTAACTCAAGTACATAAGGGTCTGGTCATTTACAGTTTTGTAAGTCCCAATAACTCAATACTATTCACTCTGTGTCTGGTCATGGAACTGGCCCAACAAGAGCAGTTAATTTTTTGGAATTAATTGCACACTCATCATTTACATGTGACCATCTTAGGACTTGTTCACTTGAAGGCAAAAAAATTTAGTTCTGATTAGTAAAAAAATTTACATAAGCTCCCATTCTCCAGTAACATTGACTTTAGTGTGTTACAGAAATATGGAGGCTTACCATTTTCAAAGAGGTTATTTGGTAGAATAAAGTTTTTTTTTTTTTTTTCAAATGGGATTGTATGAGATTATAAATGAAAGTAAACAACTGATTCTTTAAAAAGGACCTGGACCTTGACTAAACTCACTCATTCGACATTGAGTTTTTAAAGTTCTCCCACAATCATGAAATAGATTAAGAAACAACAATTAATATTAATAGAAAACAGGAGAGGTACTCATTCTCAAACATACAGTAAATAGTACAATACAGAATTCCAGTATTAATAATTTGTTTCTAAAATGCATTAAGATTATTTATGCTTATTTAATGTAAACAGCCATCTTCTTCTTTGGAAATTCTTTTTTTTTTTTTCCTTTGGAAATT